CATAACTGGAAGGACGTATTAGTTAAAAACTTTCCTTTTAAACATAATAGCAAGGAGCAACTTAGTATGCTACTGTGTCTACCGAAGGCGCTCCAGCCTTGGCTAATGCGTCGCTTAATTTCCTCTTCGCTAGATGTGATTGACTAAATAAACATATATATATATATATATATATATATATATATATATATATATATATATATATATATATATATATATATATATATATATATTTATATATATACATATATGTATATATATATATATATATATATATATATATATATATATATATATATATATATATATATATATATATATATATACATATATGTATATATATAAATATATATATATATATATATATATATATATATATATATATATATATATATATATATATATATATATATATATATACATACATATATATATACACACATATATATACACAGGTGTGTGTGTGTGTATATATATATATATATATATATATATATATATATATATATATATATATATATAAATATATATATATATATATATATATATATATTATATATACATTTATATACATATGTGTGTGTGTGTGTGTGTGTGTGTGTGTGTATGCATGTATGTATATGCATATGTATATATATGTATATATATATATTTATATATATATATATATATATATATATATATATATATATATATATATATATATATATATATATATATGTATGTATGTATTTATATGTTTGTGTACTTATATATAATATACTTAATGGACATATACACACATACATACATGCACACACACACACACACACACACACACACACACACACACACACACACACACACACACACACACACACACACACACACACACACACACACACACACACATACACACACACACACACACACACACACACACACACACACACACACACACACACACACACACACACACACACACACACACACATATGTATATATATATATATATATATGTATGTATGTATATATATACATAAGTATATATATATATATATATATATATATATATATATATATACATAAGTATATATATATATATATATATATATATATATATATATATATATATACATAAGTATATATATATATATATATATATATATATATATATATATATATATATATATATATATATATATATATATATATATATATATATATACACACACACACACATATACATATGTATGTGTATATATAAATATATATATATACGTGTGCTAAATCTATTTAGCGCACATTTTATCCATGATTTCATTAGACTAACATCATCCTAAAAGAAATATGAAATTAGTCTCCCAAGGAATGCTCCAAAGTTTCTGCAGCACTAACGCCGTAATTTATTCCGCCGTGCCAGTCCCCATGAAGGCGCGACACTGATTTATGATGCCATCTCCAGGATCATATTTACTGGGCAGCTGGGGCGTTTGCGCGCGTTCACTCAGGGACCGCGCGGAGACTATGCTGTAAGCTTAGATAAACAAACCACAGACATGGATAGTCCTGTAAAGCCAGAATGAAACCAAGATCATCTGAGGAGGCGATAGCACCACGCTTGACACGGGATGGCAGATGGGACTTGAGTGGAAGGGCATATACTTCCATTCTCGTTTGTTTGCAAATTGCTCCTACGCGTATCTGTCATACTGTCCATTACCGGTGTGAAAAATAAATGGACTATGGAATTCAGTGGAAAAAAAGAAAGAAAAAGAAACAAGTGTAAGGACTAAACTCGCACGTTCATAAAAAGAAGCCGGAGGAGATTATCTCTTTGAGGCAGGTGCATTTACAGAGCAGTTTTTCCTTTACTTTTTGCTGCAAGCGAATTATATTGACAGATGAAGTCAGTTATGTCTTTTACTGTCGTGGATTACTCCATTACTGTCATGATGTTTTCTTTCCTATTTGCGAGAACACAATCACTGCAGTGTATGCATTTCCACTCATATGTAGCTACAAACGTCTCATCCTAACCAACATTGATAAAATACATTTCCTGCACAAAACACATCCCTCACCATCGGCATGGAGAGGCCAGTTACCGAATTTTAGTTCCACGCTCGCACGGTCGACCAGGTGAACTCTGTGTAATGGAAGTGTTTGGAGTATCTGGGCACAGCAGCAATCAAACGTCTATATATGCAAACTCTAGATAACGGAAGCGCTTGGAGGAACTCAGCCTGACCATGGTCGAGTTCACTTTGTAAGGCCACTGCTGAGCTTTCTTCACAGATTGAAAAGATTATTGTGTAAGTTGTGTCCCTATATTTCGAAATACCTCCTCCCTTTCTCTTATTCTGTCTGTCTGAATATCCATCTTTCGGAGAAGGAAAGGATGACTTTCATAGCCTCTGCAAGAAAGAAATGATCAAACAATGTGTTTTAAAATGGCTCGTGACGCGTCCCGGTGACAGCCTCTGATTTATTATTGCAAAGTGATTGTTGGCCAAACAAACGATAATGGCCGCGCAGCCTCCATCTGTCGGCACAGCTAAAAAGGGGGATTTTGAGAGCTTGTGGCGCCTCCTCCATGTGAGTGATTTTATCACGCAACACTGTCATGAACTCATAAAAAGTAAGAGTCTGGGCTCTATGGGAAGGGGGAGATAAGTAAAGAAAATGATGATAACAAGCCCTTCTCCAGCAGAGTTTGCAGGATAATATGTACACTTACACAACCCGAGAAGATTTAAAGTTCTTGAGATTAATATTTCCAGAAAAGATCTCATGTGTTAACTTTTGACAGGAGTATATACGATGCCGGGGCATGAATAGAAGAGCAGAGAAAAGGTTAAGAAGACGGGAGTATGAAGCAACGAGGAAGAGAAGTAAAAGAGATAGAGAAGAATAAAATTAAACAAAAAGGAGAGGAGAATGAACAGACTAGAAGGAGAGGAAAATAAAAGAGACAAGGAGGAGAGGAGGCAAGGTGCTTTTGAAATTAAAGGGAATCTGATATAGAGTAACGAAAAAAAAAGAGGAAAAAAGGAGGAAAAGGAGCGTACTCAGGCCTGCACAATGTTTCCTTGCGTGGTATTTCTATATGAGGGTAAGCGCGTCCGAAGGCGTTCTCAGACCAATTACCCCAAAGTGTATTTATCAATTTTTCTTTTACTTTCTTCTTTAACATCAACATCGGCACGTTCACGTTCATGCAAGACAATCTTGGGATAGAATGCATTAACGTGAAATTGTCGATGGTTATGTTACAGATGAAATTTTAAGCTTACGAAACATTTAATAAGTGAGTTTTCGGGCAATTAGTCTGAGAACACCTTTGGACTCGCACACTTCCACATATACACGCGGCGCTTTTCTTTTTCTTTTGCATTTTGCCGAGTGTGTTTTAATGGTTATGCCTGCTGCGACAGTTCTTTACTTCTCAGGTTTAACGCAACTAAAATGGATATACAGGGTATGACGTTCAGTAAAGAAAGATGTAAAGATGGACTTTTGTTGCTAGGACTACTCCCACCTCTCATACCCCTTTTCGTCTTTCTGTCCTGCTCTCCCTCCCTCTTTATCACAGGGTGCGACCCCCCCCCCCTCCGCGGCCCACATCACCCGTGCATCGTTTCCGAAATACCCATGATTATCGTCAGCTCCTCTGCCATCAGGGAAGATCCACGGCTGCGATTATCACATGATCTCAGCTGAGGTTTGGCGAGCCGATCCTCGCCGGCTATTTCCCAATCAAGAGGATCCAGGAGAGATGACGCGCCGGATCTCACAGTGCGCATCATCACCATCGTCGTCACCATCATTATTCATATGATAAATTGACAACACATAGATTAGTCTTGAATTCTCCATTTCCGGCAGCTCAATAGTATGCGGTGTGATGGCAGTATCTTGATAACCCAACACATCCAGTTTTCTTAAAGCATGGTTGTGTGAAGAGTCAACCAGACGTATCTGGATGACCCGCTTTGGGATGGGTGTCAGCAGATTAACAAAATTCCAAATGATGGAAGCTTAATTTTTTTTCTTATACTTTTTACTTCGTATATACGCCTTTTGATTATCTCTGGATTTTTTCCTTGCTGGATTAAATGTAAATGATCAGTTTTAATATCATGTAATGCTGCGCTTACTATATAACATCCCTTCAACACCAGAAGTTTGAGAGACAGGAGCCCTGGGTAAGCGGGAATTCTATTTCGTTGTACAGTGTTTAAGCATTACGCAAAAACTGCAACTTTGCTTCAAGCGATCCACGCGCACCTCATCCAAGAAGAAACTAAAACTCTCGGCTCGTGTTCTTTCCTTTCAAGCTCAGAGGGTAATTTTGTTTCTCGCCTTGGCAACACTGCTGTAAGTTTGAATTTGCCTAAGTTTATCCCCTGTTGAGCTGCGCTTCTTTCCGAGGGGAACTTGCGAAATTACCGGGATCTGCTGCATGTGGATTAGCTCTCGCGTTGCCGGTGTTAAGATGAGCTAAAAGCAGACCGTACTTTGTGAAAAAAGAATCGGATTTATGCCAGTGGGACTCGAAAGAGATAAGGCACTTGCCAAGTAGTTCACGGTCCGTTAAAGTGTTTGATGTAATTAAGAGATGTAATTATCCTATTACTTCCAGAGAATTCGGTTAAAGGAGCTCCACCTTTAATAATTGGATTATTACAGAAAGCAAATATTGTGCTTCCATTCACTCGATTACTAACGACAATAAGGTAATTAGATCGAACATTAGTTCATTAAGCGACTCGCATGCAAACAAGGTCACGAAAGGTGAGCAATCAGAGGATTCTGTGGTTAGGGGCTGGAGGGTGCGTGGCGTGTGCGGTGGCGTGGCGGTGGCGTGGCGGTGGCGTGGCAGGGGCGTACATGTGGCGTGTGAGACCAGCGTAGCCGAGGTTGAGTGGAAGATGCTCCCGGGGGAGAACGTAAATCAATATGAAAAGTGTCGAGCTTTTTCCTAGTATGGGCAGCGCGGAGGCAAATCCATTTTCGCTATGGGGATCGTGTCGCCTTGGGTAGCCGTGGCCAAAAGTCCTAGCAAAGACAGATTGCGTCCATGTGCAGATGGCACAATCGAAGCTTCAGTGAATCGCATGCCTATGTTGACACTGCACTAAAAGGCTTCTTTCAGCCTTTCGGTATTCTTGATATTTTCGTTTGTTTAGCTAAACGAAGGTTCAATATTCTGAATCTGACTATAAACCGAAGGGTAACAAGCGAGATAAGTGTTTGCTTATACTGAATGATATAATGATATCTTCTAATAAAAAGCTGGTGTGTGCGGGAAATCAATCAATAATAATTTCCTTAAATGAAGATCTGTATTCACAAATATACTCTGCCGCTTGCTTCGCTTCAACAACCAGCCATGCATAATAGATATGTTGCCTTAAGGACCATATCTCCATTTACGAAATTCTCCTTATCTCGCTCCAAGGTCTCTTCTTTAGCCAGAAAATGGTTTCCAATATACGCAGATGCTTCCGAATTCCCGTCTTTGTATCTCAAACCATAGTGAACCTAAGCGTTCTTTACGGCCACTATGTGTTGGTCGCTCCTCTTACACCGCACACCGCCTTCCTTGGCAGAGATACTAACACCCAGAACGGTGT